TAATTTGATATTGAGCTTTGTATGAATTTTAACATAGTATAAACGCAACTAAGCTTTCGAAATATAATTGGAGACCTTTGGCAATGATGGAAGTCCATGTGACTACAATGAACTTATGAATAGTATACATACCTGCAGGCATAACAACAAGATTTTAAAAATGGTGAATGGTCCGGGCATCACAATACATCCACCAAGGTTTTGCACATGACGAGTAACAGCAAAATTTATTCCAAAAATTTGTAACATTATTGCTCCACATCCATCCTGTAGTACACTGATTTTACCTATTCTATTTCTCAAATACACAAATACAATCGAAGAACAAAGCTTTTCCACCACAGATGACATGCAACAGAAATAGTGGACCGAATTTAAGACCATACTTAGAGAAGTAATTCCGGCAGTCTGTATTACAGTAAGTACAAACATATCGGCTGTGAAGTCCCGAAACTAAGTTATAATTATACAATTTTTTCATCTAAGTACACCTCTACTGATCAACATAATTCCCTGAAAGTGCGACACTATTATCCTAACGCTTTTTAACATTTCAATGTCTCTCTTACAGAAAGAAAAAAAAACGAATTCTTCATATATTATAACATGCCTATTCCAAACTATGGAAATCAGAACCTTATTTACCGATTGCTATATCGGTTGACTATCGATTCGAATTCGGACTAAAGTCTATCAGATGTTGATATCACATGTCACGTAAAGTGTATCACAAATTGATACAAAACTAACGATTTTTTCCGTTCCAAAATCCTAAATAAATCATCGACGAGTTGTTGTTGTTGTAACCCGCAAGGATCTGTAAGACAGATAACATGAAAGATATTATAAAACGAATACATGGGTTAAGTTATGGATAGATATGTGTTGTGTGAGAGGGGAGTGGATTATTTAGTAGTAAGAATGTAAGTGGGAGTAAGTCTCCCACTTCGTGGACAGATTGTTTTTTTTTATCAATTGTGAACAAAAGTTACACCTTTTTTGAAAACAACTTTTTTATAGAAAAATGTCTGAAAGATAATAGAAAACGAAAGTATGGGTTAAGATATGGATAGATATGTGTTGTGTGAGAGGAGAGTAGATTATTTAGGAGTAAGAATAGATTTAAAGTCTGAAAACCAACATTATTTTACTAGTAATCAACCTTGAAATCGTTTAACCAATATACTACGACAACAATAGTGCATAATATTAAACAAATTCTTCTTTGAATCGGATCTAATATATATTGATGATGAAACGAAAACTTTTTGAAAAAGTCAACAATTCTAGTTACTTCTTGCCAGCAGGTTGTATATAGAAGTTACTAAATTCTTGTAGACTATAATATTTTTCTTATATCTTAACACCTCAATTAATCTCTTTCAATTTCCGCACATATAAATAAAATTCACTAAACTTGAAGACTCTATATCAAATTTCTAATGTTCTCGCATAATATATGCAGACAGCAGCAATCAATTAAACCATAACCATCCGATCAATAGCATTTTTCTGCTCGCTATTAATAATACTGAAATCCAGAATAAAATGAAATGCCTAACCCAGTGACCCTCTTGTTCCATGTCATTCGCTACAAAACTCTTCTTCCCAATTGCCTTTGAGTTGTTGGCGAAGCATTTTTACAAATAACACGATTTGTATAAACAATATTTTTGATTGTGATATCTCGAATCTGAGATCGTTTTTAATAAGAAATTATTTTGTTTGAAAAATTTTTTAATTAAGCAATAAATTATGTTGCTAACACAAATGTTGTGGTTGCTTCACAAGGAGCAACGCAACAACGCAGCAACGTAGCGATGCAGCAACGCAGCGATGCAGCATCGTTCGTTGCTTGTTTTCGCACATTTGCGCAGATCTGGGATGCTGCGGCGCAAGTATGTAAGCATGGCGCAAATGTTGCATGCGTGCCTCGTTCGAATTCGTATTCATTTGCTTCGCAGTGTTAAATTAACAAGTAACAAATGAGTTAAAATTTATGTTGTTGTTGATTTGGCTACTGATGATGATATTGAGTGGTTGCCCCTTCGGAAATACTTGTACTGCACATGCGAATTTATGATTAAAATAAAAATTTCTTATGTTCACAACATTTGGCACAGTTTGTGGCATTGAAGTGGGTCAATGTTTCAATTATACATTTTTCGTTACATCAAGATAAGTACAGAGGCAACTTATTCCTGCAAAACTCATGTTCCAACATATTCATGATTATTTATCCAAAGCATATGTTATCATTGAGTTAGTGCTTACATTGAAGTTATATATTGCATTGTTATGATATATATCCAAAAAGGTTGTTATATGGTACAAGCGAGTATGCTATTACACATCGCTAATTTCAAGCTCACGAAACTAGCAATAATTGATCTATAGGTTAGGTAAGGTGAACTGGAAGAAGGAATGAATCATACTAAATTAGAGAGAGAGAGAGCTAAGAAAGGCATTTTAACACCACATTCTTCATAATCGTGGTATCTGAAGGTATATATAAATATGGTATCTGATAACAAGAGAATGGTCATATTGGAATCAGCCGAATGCATTGAGGAAAGTAAATATTTGACTAATGCTAATGCGCGAAATATCGCCGTATGTGTTAAAGAATGGTGCACCCAATAGCTTAAGCCTAGTTCTAGACAAGCCTTAACATTTTATTGTGGGTGAAGAGTTGAAATGTTTTATGACCGTCATACCGACTATCACCGGAATGGTGTATTCCAGCCCTACTGTAAATTACATGAACTAGACCACACCGTCGTCTTCTTTAAGTTTTCTCTCCTAGAACCGCTTTATAAATTATCTATCCATACCACATATTTCTCATAAAACCTGTCTTTATAATCGTCTTTATAATCGTTGACTAAAAGGTGTTCCCCGAATCTTTCGAACAGGTAAAAATCGCAGCTAGCTCAATCAGATGAATACGTATTGTTCTTGATCAAAAACTAACGAGTAGGAATAATAGTGTGGAAAGATGCGTTATCATTTTATTTGTAAAATAGTAAAAAATTAAGAGCAAACATGGATGCAGTTAAAGTCTCGTCTTAATGCGCTTAAATTTGGAGAAAAAATTAATGACAGAAATGACAACTTCTGTGTTAAAACTCCAACTGGTAATAGTTTTAGAAAGCAGCACCTCGTAGTATGTGGCAGCACTGCTCTAACAAGAACAAATGTTAAAAGTAAAAAAATATGTATGTTCAAAAAACAGAAGAAAACATCAGCTAACCAAAAAAGTTTATAACAATTCGAGCTTAGAAAGTGTATATGTATACAAAATAATTACAGGTAGTTTTAGATAGCGCCACCTAGTGGTAGTTTTAGAAAGCTACACTTCGTAGTACTTCCTAAAAGTTTTTAATAAAAAATTTATATATCAATATTAAATTAAAAGTAATTTTTATTATATTATTATCTCTGGATTATATTAATTTTAATCTTATTTTTAATGTATATATAAAATTAATACCTTGCTTTTAATAAATAAGTTTAGGGCCTTTTGAATTATACTTAAAATATACTTTTTTGTTTATTAAAAATTTCATATTTTAGGTTGAAGATAATTAAGATCCCAGAGAAAGGCATGTCCGATTTTAGTTATTGGATTATAATGCGTTACAACGACTATTTCTTCATGAAATGCAACATCTGCAGCTAATTATGGAACTCTTATAGAAAACATAGAACAACACCTCAAAGCGACCACATTAAGATCTTTGATGGCCACTTCATTCACAAAATCCAAATTTAATCAAAATATACAAAAAGCTGATGAATTACATTGTTAGAGATCCCCAAGAAAGGTATATTTGATATGGAATATAATTTTATTTGATATAAATACTATTTTTATATTAAGGGCTAAACAATGTGTCAGTAGTAAAGCGTAAACGTGAAGCATATAGTTTTTTTTGATTGTGTCTAGTAACCTGGACCTCGACTGAAGATTTTGTTACTTTTTTTCCTGTTAAAGAAATATATTCCAGAGGAATTCTTGAGTGATTTATAACTACGACTAGTTTCAGTTTGTGTTAAGAAAACATTTCACAAGAAAGTGAATTTGTCCGTCTATTCCAGAGCGGGTTGGCCAGTACCGGTATCTTCAGTGAGCATGAGTTGCTTAAAGAAAATATTCGAGTGGTATTATTGCAGTAATTTTCGAGACTAATTGTTGTGGTTCCATACCCAATTTATTTGTACATTACGAAAATATTACACATGAAATCGGGGTCTACGGTGACTTTGCATATCAAGTGTTTTAGTACAGTACAACACTATGCAATGAAATACTGAAATCAGGATTTCAACACGCGCTGGGAATTTCACGCAGTTAATAATACCATATATACCTGAGATATACTCATATTAAAGTTCTACACAACCTGACGAATCGTGAAAATTAATTGATTAATTTGTGACTTGCATATATTCGCAACTGTTAAGTAACTTGGTATTTTCCTAAGCAGTTTTTTTTCCTTACATCACTTGCTGAGATGCTTAATACTGAAGAGATATGGTTATGATATGGTATGATATGGTAATACTACATCAATGCATCAGTCCAAAATTTCTCATTGGAAGCCGAAGACAGACATAATTAATTTGCAATAGCAATAACTGTATTTTTGTTGCGAAATATGAATTGATCAGAGACCTGATCTTGTTGGATTTCAGTTCTGTGACATGGAATAAGAACTATTTAGAATACCGCTAATATTGATTTTTTACTAGAAGAATCTTATACGCCGCTTTAAGATTTTATACAGGTATGTTTTCTAATTTCTTATTTAAACATATTTAATATAAACTGTATGTATCTAATTACTCTCACTTTGTACTTAATGCATATAACATCACAGATATGGTATATTGTAATTAAAATTTTATTATTTATTTCGATGGCTTTAACTCGAAGTTATAACTCAATCGCTCTTCAGTTAAATTGGAAGATAAATTTAAGTGTAGTATTAACCTAGGATTAAAGAATAAGGTTATAGCTTAGATGGTTACTTACAAATAAGGTAAGTTATTAAGGTTATATGAAAACCTTAGGTATCTATTTGTTGTTGCCAACTAACTTTAAGGTATATATTGTAATTTCATTACTCTTACATAGTTTTTGCTAAGTTCTTAAGATGGCAACTCTAGTTAATTATATATCGCACTCTGCGCCGTATATTGAGTTGTATATATTGTACGAGTAACATAACATATATGGCCAAATATCAGAGTCTAATTCGTAACACCAGGGCGTCGGTAATAGGCAGCTGAGTTAAATTGACCTGAGTTAAGTGGAGCTGAAGTAAGCTTTGCACTATAAGTACCATCCAGAGTAAAAAAGAAACACTAATACTAAATAATTACTGTAACTCAATATATGCATATGTATATATATGCAGTCTATATTAAACTCATTATTGCAATCAATCAGAGTTATATTTGAATTTAGTGTAATAATGAGTAATGTAATCACTGTAGCATAATGCGGTACGTAATGATGTTTCAATAGTTTTTTGTTTTATTAAACAAAACTTATGTGGATTTCAGTGTACTACAAAAGTAATTCCTAAGTAATTGAAACTTAGGAAACTTTTTAATAAATATTTGACTTGTTTGTTTGCATTTCAGTTGTAATCAAACCATAACAAATAACTAAAGGAATAAATTGAATACCACCTAGAGAGAAAATTTATACTTTTCGTCAAAGCATTTAAATCGCCCGCTCAAACCAGTCATGAATATATCTGCGCTCTTTAGCGAATTTAGCAATAAATCGGGCGAACAGAGTACTGGCATCAATTGGTTTGTGGCCCATGCATTATTCCATGTGATAACAAATTATTTCTTGACGCAGGCTGCATACTTTACTATGACGCTCTGCTGTCGCGATGAACACACTTGCAACTTCTACAATGACATGATGGAGAAACTATTTCAACTATGGGATATAGAGATACTAGAACTGATAGTTGTGCACGCGAACTCCAGCTTTAGAGTGCCAGGTGATAGAAAATACAATTTAATCTTAACCGATTCATATAAAGCCTTCTTGTGAGTATTAAATATATATTAAACTTAAATAATTTTATTTAATTAATAAAATCGATATTGCAGAGAAATCGATATTGTCAGCAATACACACCATTCTGATAGCAATGAGTATTACTTCATATTTCTGCAAGCCAGAGATCATCTTTTGCACAATGAAATGCAACAAATATTCGATTATTGCTGGTCGCATTATCTCATTAATTGCATTGTACAGGTACAAACGGCGAGTGGTGAAGTTTTAATTTATACCTATTTTCCGTTTACCGCGAAACATTGTTACAAAATAGAGCCCATCTTGTTTAATCAGTTTAATGGTACCGGATTTATTGCTCCCGAACTTTTTCCAAGGAAATTAAACAATTTTTATGGCTGCAAACTTAAAGCAGCTGTTTGGAATATAGCCCCCTTCGTAACTTTGCGAACCAATAGAAGGGGACAAACTAGAATAAAAGGTGGTTTCGAAGGTGCTATGGTCAATACAATAGCAGAAAAACTCAACTTCTCGATTGAAATAGTAATCCCACCTAAGAATGAACAACGTGGTTATATGGTTAATGGCACTTACAATGGAGCTATAGGAATGGTAAATGAAAATCCTTTAATATATATAAGAATTTGAAATCAGTATTTATTTTTCAGCTACATAGACGTGCTGTTGATTTCTCTTTCGGTTGCTTTCGTCAGAGCCATGAACGTTCAACATATGCCTCACCGACAGTGCCTTATCATCAGGAGCAGATAATTGCGATTGCGTATAAAGCAGCATATCAATTCAACTCTTTGGAACTACTAATACATCCATTTACGACTTATGCTTGGCTTATGGTTTTAGTAATTACAATACTAGCACTCATTTTGCAGTACATAGACAATATGGTTTTGTTAAAATATCCAAATGAAATTGAAGACAAACTTCCAAGTTTCTTGCGTATTGTTGAAAGTATGCTTGGTGTGTCTATTTCGCGGCTACCAAAGAATTCAGTAAGACGATTTTTCATCTTACAGTGGTTCCTGGTTATGTTTGTTATACGTAGCTCTTATCAAGCCATACTTTTTCATTTAATACGCACTCAACAAACAAAACCTGTACCGAAGACAATAGATGATTTGCTATCCCAAAACTACAACGTTATTATGAATCAGCAGACATATGGTATTGTGAAAGACATTACGTTTGCGAGTAGATTTGTGCCTGAAGTTCCACCCACTGGTACCAATGCATTACTTATTATTCAAGATACAACGCGTGGCCCGTCAGTGGCTGTAACATCTATTACTTTTTTTGCGGATTTCATATATAAACAACAAAAAGCTGGATTTTATATTATAATACCCGAACAATTTGTAGTGTTCTATATAACAATGTATCTCAGCAAACACTCATATCTACTCGATGAGTTTAACGATCAAATTTCTTGGATACGTGGAGCCGGTCTTCCCGGTGCTTGGTTGAGTTGGGAAACAGACTTCAATTACTATAGTGCTGGGCAAATTATACAGGACCAATTGTTTGGCATGGATGAACTGTCGGCTGCATTTCTTATTATATGTCTTGGTTCTATTTTTTCTAGTATTGTGTTTGGATTAGAACTAATTTCTTCAAAATCAAAATTAATTAGAAAAATTCTTGCTATTTTCTATTGAATACAATTTTATTCTATTGAATAATTTT